TGCGAGAACCGGACTGGTGTTCGGAAGATGGAGCTTCGTGAGGAGATCTGAGGTAGATGTACTAAGTGCGACGCTATGCGTCGTGTGGTTTAGAGGGTCCGTTGAAACGTTTCAACTTCCAATGTTTCAGGAATTTAATTAAAATGCTTTCTCTTTTACTTTTGTTTTATCATTTTTTTTTCTTTTACGCAACTTGTAATTAACAACTGGATGATGATTCAAGTCTTTTTCATTTTCTTGTATTCATTTCCATTGGTGCATATGTGTCATATATTTTATTAATATCGTTGTACTGTATATTGCATTTCTTGCTTTCTTTGCAGTAAATGAAATAAAAATGTATTATTTATTTGCAATCGGGTGTTGAGACGATGTATGCCTTAGATAAAGGCAAGAAGACTGCATATTTTCACCTAAAATGCCTAAACAAATTGTATAAGTAGATCAAAGTGAATTTTTAAACACACATATTTATAAACACAATTTCCGACAGGATATATAGTTCTGTGAAAAATAAAAAAAATTAAAAGTTACTATAAAAAAAATTTCTTTTTAGTTTACGTGTTTAATAAGTGTATATCATTCTTTTATTCAATTTTTAAATGACCTGGAAATAAAATCACTATAATGCCGAAGTAACGTACATTACAATATTTTTTACGCTTCTAAATATTAATTCATGAAAGTGTTGGAATGATTGTATTTTTTTATGAATGTGATACTTGTTTAAATGTTGACTGAAAGGTATTCTGCTGTCTTATTTATTTGTATACCTGTATTTTAAGTTGTTATTGTATGAAAACAATCCCTGTAAAGCAGTTATGCTGGTCTGTGGAAATAAATAATTAAATAAACAATGAAAGTGTTGGTTACATTTTAGGGAACAGTGAAGATTCGTTTTTTTCTGCTAATTGTTACATTTTTAGCAATTTCTTGTTAAATTGTGTAACACTGTATACACAGTTAGGTATTTTCTTCTTATTTGCCCCGAAATTAGTCTCGCGCAGTTGCAGAGTCCGCAAGACCACCCCTCCGACGAATGCTAGTTATGGTGTGAAGAGAGTCAAGGGAATTCACCTCCTCGCACCCCAATTCGCAGTGATTGGGAGGGTGAGTTGATGAAGAATGGAGAGGAAAGGAAATATCCCTGTTTATGAATTGCTGTACTCTCGTGTTCACTTGGATGGAATTGAGGACACAATCAAAACCACTCATCGGGGCAGTCAGCAATTTTAATTGCAAACTCATCGACACAATGAGTTAATTGTTGGGGTCTTATCGAACCTGCGTCGCGTCCATCACTGGTTCGCTTGCACCGTGAGACGTTAGGGCCTCTGCTAGCCACTAACGACCTTAGTATATTTGGTTTCTTAAAAATGTGAATTGTTTTGGAAATTTTCACGAGTTCTGTATCTACATCAGAGAACCAAAGTTTGAGGATAAATTTGGTTTCCTCTTCTAGGTTCAGTGCTCTTAGAAGACAAGTAATTGTTGAGTGGAACGAGTACTCGAAAACAATACGAGCAATAAGAAATACTAACGCAGCGCTTCAAACAAGCGAACGGGGTCGTTTCTGCGCGTACACAGTCACGCCACATTTAGACTGAATGGACCGGGCAAATGTTTCACTTTTTAGAGTTACTTCTGCCGGCAGGAAACTGCCGCGGCTCTGTTTCTTCAGACGTCGCGCTCTTTAACGTAATCTCCCGCGCAAGGACAAGCATAATCTCATTTTGTTCTTTTCTGGAGACGTTTTTCTGCGAAAGTGCGCACAAGATAGAGATCGTTGTCTTCCGCTGCGGTCTTGCCGTGCAATAACCGTACTTTATTTCTTGCGGACGTATGCCAACGTAAATGTTAGAAAGCATTATAATTTAACCTAGTGTAGTTAAAGAAACTTGAATTATACCTTCTGTTTCTTTTGGTGTAAGATAGGAAAATAGGTTTCGCAGATTAATCACCTACAGTAATCACTAGATGTGCTATTCATCTGAAGGCAATACAATTTGTTAGTGGCTTCGTTGGCCTTTGTTTACTTCGAAAACTATTTTCATATTATTTTGTAGGGAATTCTTTTTAGGTCAAAATTATATTTGATTTGGTGGAACTTATAAACGTCAGGTTTAAAGAGAAAAAATATAACAGACAATCGTTTTGAAATAACATTCAGTATCTAAATTCATAATTCGTGAACATATTTGATATTATCTGGCACCCTGTATGCCTCTTTTCACAATTTATTGAATTTATACCTATCCGTCTGTCATTCTTTTATCTATGCACAACTCCTGAACTGTTCATAGAATTTCTCCAAAATAAGCAATTCCCGGGCGATGTAAGATCTACTATCCAGTAATCCTAAAGATATATATCATAAAGAATACGAATTTTTCAAGGAGTGAAGGAGGGAACGAAATATTAACGTATGCAAAGAAGTTATAATAGCTTACTTGGCAGAGAAACTTACTGCCCTTAATGCTGGTTCGCAGAAACGTATACGAAAGTGTTTAGTACACTTTATTTGATGAAAATGATGAGTAAATGGGTTATTTTCATTAATAAATTATTAAGTATAACTATGTTTCTAAAAATATTTCCTCATTTTTCAATAAAATAATGATTTTGTGTGCGTCATGTTGTTCAGTTCGCGGCAGTAGTTTTGCTGTTGATTATCGTGACAATTGATAGCTCCTGTATTACGGGTCTGTAACAAAACAGCCATTTAACTTACTCCGGACTCGAAAGAATAAAGTCTACAAACCGATAGAATGAGATAAATTATTTTATATACATTAAATAACATCATTAAAATGTCATATAAAAAAATTTATATATTGATTTTACTTAAGTGTGGAATCCGATTTTGGAGGTGTTAATCCTTCTTTTGAAGCACCATAGTACAGTCTAAATGACCCATAATATACTCTACATAGCTGACATTGTGCAGCTAGATAGTAGTAGATTTAACCGGAACGATGATTCTTCGTTAGCTGATATCTTTCCAAAAATCGAAAAAGACCAATAAATACAGACATTTGTCAATGTTATAGCACATGTCTGAATTTATGAAAATAAAAGCACACACAAATTGTAGCCTAACAATGTTTTATGTAAATATAATACAAATAGTAAAAATGTGTGAACAGTTCTATTTGGTGCAAACAGTATTGAGTCATGCCTACAGTACTTTCCATACCTGTTTTTTCGCTGTTCTCTTGTTGTTATCTGTGCACAATTCCTTATTAATAAAAAAAAATTGTTCGTTGCAATGTTCAGGAACGCTAAAGAGTACGATGTCTGATTATAGTGATGCATGATTCGTCCGATTTTGTATACAATAATACTAAACTACGTTTACAATCTTCAATACTAAAAGTAGAGGAAGTTATGTAATGAAGCAAAACCTTGATGTTAAGCTAAAAACGAAAGTCACTAAACTCTACTTTAACTCAACGAACTGGAAATTATTACTAACCTATCCTCATCATGAATCTCGCTTAAGTAGTCCAATAAACTGATTACAAACTGAACCTCAGTGTTTGAATAATCACCTACACTCTTAATTTCTTGAGCAGAGAGAAGCTCTATTGAGAAGTACTAGACAACATGAAGAGAGGTAGCTAGTTCATCTAGCTAGAGAGTGCTAAAACACTATCCGGCCCTATACTAAGTACCTCCTCACAGCAGAATGCCATTACACCACAGCACTCAAACTATTAGCAGCTTCTTCATTATCCGAGTCAGGAGAGATTACATCATGCTGCAATGGCTCAATGGCAACGCTCAGCAGCGTCTTTCATCTGGAGGTCCTAGGGTTCGACAATCGCCGATGGTGGACTTTCGAACAACACGCTAAGTGGCCTTCAGTCGCTGACTGGAATAGAATGTTAGTTCCCGGCTGCTCCGGCCAATAGTTTTCTGTGGTGTCTCAGAACAATACCAAGCGAATTCCGTAACGAAGGAGCTTCGGAGCGGGCGCGACATTTCCTTCCTCATTCTTGTTCCCTCTTCTTCCCTTACTCTCGCCCTTACACGAACATTCACTGCCACTTAATCCCCTTTCACAATACAAACATAAACATAAGCATGGCGTTAACAGAAAAGGTAGGACTGCGTCCATAAGCGGACTCATTCAAAATGCCTTCGTCCAATACCCACCAAAAGCAACTACTCTAACCATTAGTTACCAAAGTGAAAATCACCTCACTATGTTTAATTCCACTACTCGTATCATAATTTTCTTTATTTACTAGATGAAGGACAATGATACAAAGAACTCAAGAAAAATTCTACGAATTTGAAGACTACCAATAAGATCTGTATCAATGGTAGCTCTACCATTAGTAACTCTACCATTAGTGAACTCTGCCATTAGTAATCATGGTTTGTGTTGGTGTGGTGTGTTTATACATCTAGTTGTGTGTCCCACTTTCAAGAATATGTAACTCCGGTTCTTTATTTTTTCTCTTCTATTGCTAGCAAGTTCTGATGATGGAAATATTTTCCGAAACTTTAGTAAAGCCCCTTGTAGGGTTTTTCTTTCTCCATTGACCAAGTCCCCCAGAAACCTGACTACACTATATTCAGGGGTTCGGGAAGGAAACGTCGAAATTTCGAAAATAAACTCTTAAGACGATTTTAAGCATATTTTGTCTAAAAAACTACTTAGATATTCTGAATGGATAAGCACTCAAAAGTTGATTTCGAGAAATGCTTTCTAAGCAAAAAAATGCATTTGTGAAACATTCAAAACTCTAGAAACATGTAAATTGTTTATTATTTACAAAAGAAGTGAATGTATTTGTTCAGAAAGAAAAATTAACACGGAAATTAAAAAAAGTACCCACTTTACACAATTCGACTGCTTTTTATTTCTGGGTTAATTTTTCTAGCTGTATATTTATGATCGTTAAGGATTCTTCAAATTAGAGGCGTTTAATTGGAGGTAAATGAAAACCTTTGGTAGGGCGCGCGCTGATTGGGGGGCGTGTGTGCGACAGGTGTCGTGGATCCGCAAGCGCGACCTGCACATCCTGACGGCGGGCATCCTCACCTACACGAGCGACGCGCGCTTCACAGTCATCCGGCCCGACAAGTCGGAGAACTGGACGCTGCAGATCAAGTTCCCGCAGCAGCGAGACGCCGGCATCTACGAGTGCCAGGTGAACACGGAGCCCAAGATGAGCCTCGCTTTCAGCCTCAACGTCGTAGGTGAGTAACTGCCTTTCTATTTATTCACTTCCAAGGAATTTACAAAGCGGCAAACTCAAAGGTCCGCTTTGGTTTTACAGTTTTCAGTGTTTTCTATGAAAAGTACTGAAGTAGTTTGTGTTCAAAATATGACGTAAGTCTTTATAAAGTTTGACTTCCTACAGTGTCTTTGCCTGCGGGTAAAAACACTTCGGGCTATTCACTGGAAATCTGACAGTTGAGAATGAATTTTGAAAATATTTCAACTCATTTTTCAAGTCATAGCACAATATAATTTAATACATTATTATCTTAAAAATATATCGGACTTTATATGACATACACATGCTCAGATTTCTTCTTTGAAATAGAAATATTCTTTCGATTTTTTTTCATAAAAGCGACAGTAATATTAATTGATGATTAAATTTATTAATTTGGTAAACTTGTCTAATACTTCAACAGGATGAAGATTAAAGCGTTGTTTTCCGTCCCCCCCCCTGCATTGCAGAGGATCAATTGCACCTTGGCTAAGCTGAGGTTAAGGGGCAAGATATACAAAAGTAGCAACAATTTTTATTAATTGTTAGTGTTTTATGTATATTGTTTCATATATATTGTATTTTAATTAATTAGTTGTTTTCCAAAACGGAATTTTCGTCCATAAAATGTTATCCGTGATATCAAATTTGGAAAACTGAATCTTATAGGGAAACATTTCAAGAGCTCGCCAATTAATGATTCTAGAAAACTGTTTCATTTATTAGAACAAGACAAATCATGTTATCGTTTCTTGAGGTTAACAATTTTTTAAACAAATACTTCCACTCAAAGTGATCCAATGGTTCCGATTTGATGGAAAGTTGTGAACGTAAATACAAGATGTTCTTTAACCTAAAACAAACATTTTGTTCTTGTTGGAACACATTTTTCATGACTAAAAGGATTATACAAATGGTTGAGTGTTTTAAATATTGTTTATACATTTGAACAAATTAAAGTGTTGTAAAATAATATTATAACAGGGCAATTGTTTTTTTATTGGATTCAATAAACCTTTTCTGGAATAGTCTAATCAATTAGGTTCGTAAATCATAATACTTAACCCGATTTCAATTTATCTCAAGAGATCCACGGAGCAAATCTTTTCTATTTGAACTTGTGTCTATATCATTCCGTGATGGTTCGATAAATATCATTTCTCTAACAAGCATCGCATATTCTTCAGCAATCTTCATCCATTTTACGAATGTTGACAATATTAATCTCTCTTGACCTGCAGTAAAGGTAATTTGTGTTGTCCCAACCTGCTTTCTGACTCCACTTCCCGCAACATACTTTTTAACGCTCTCACTTCCCCCTCCCCTCCACCGACGCTGTGCGAATCCCACCATCTCCCGTCGGTCCTCACTTCCTCGCCCTCTCCCCCGCGACCCTCGACTGTCCAGCGCCCCCTTGCCATCGCCGTCACTCGTGCCATCCACTGCATCGTCGCCTCATCCCCTTGTTTGCCCCGCGCCGTCCCGCCCCACTGCCACCCCACCACACTGCGTTGCCACTTCACTGCCGCCCCCACAACATTGCCTCCCTAACAATACAGCCGCCCCCACCGCACTGCTGTTCCCGCCACACTGCTGCCCCCACCGCACTATTGCCCCTATTACAACAGCCTCCCCTGCCACACTGCCGTCCCACCTCACTTCATTTCCGCCCCCACGTCTATACTTCCGTCCTCACTACCGTCTCCGCCACCCATTCGTGCCATCTCGTCCGCCATTCCGTTGTCTCTGCATTCCCGTGTGAGCCCCAGGGTTTACATCCCCCATGACTCGAATACCGCCCGCCATCGCTGCTGCGCCCTGCCGGCTGGTGCATCCCGCCATCCCAGCCACCTCCACCCACACCGTCACCACGACCTACGCCCCGTCACCAAGCAATCGGAGCCGCGGTCCGAGGCAAATATTGACCTCCGGCCACCTGGCGGCGTCCCGCCCCCCTGCGCTGGTACATAGCGCCTCACGCGGACACGCACCTCAGTTGGGGCGCCGGCCCTCCCACGGCTGACGCTTCCGCGCACGATGAATGGACCGCACTCTGCAAAGTTGCCTAAGGCAACGGGCAACGAGTTCTCGTTAGAATTACGTGTGAACTGTTAGCGATGTAGGCGGCATATGATTTACACTTACTTTTCGGAGACGTCCGGGTTCAATAGACAAATTCCAAAGTGTCAGGCGACGAATTTGAATTATTAACCCAATATTAATCCTCCATATATTAATCCTCCGTATTTCGTGGCTGGCGGCATTAGTATTTGAGAATTAAGTTCTACATTCTCTATTGTTGGAACATACTTATTCTTAAATTTAGATAATCTTACGGATATAGTAAGCACACGAAAAATAATAAAAAATAATACTCTTAAGAAATTTCAGTATGGCGTTATAACATCTTAACGCATACTTATACATATGTATGGCTTCGGCACAAAACTACCTCTGAGTTACGTTCTTTAATACGCACATCATGTCTCCTGAGAAGTTGAAATCGCAAAACACACGAATAACCTTTGAAGCCCAGTATCTTTGGAAGAGTGCGCCACCGTCCCAAATTCTTTTGAGCGCTGTCTCTTATGTGAAGATCGTTTCTGAAACACTGACATAAAAATCTATTTCTCTCGTTTGCGATTTCTTATGTTTTATTAAATGAGCAATTAGGCTAACGATGAACAAAAACTGAGCTAATGCTAGCAAAATCATTGGGACATTCACGCAGTCTTGCCGGAGGATCTCAAACGAGTTATTTACACCATTAGGAATTTGAACATTTTCTTTGTCTATCTGCAGCATAAATGTAGACATTTTGTGACACACTCTCTGACAAATTATTTTCGAGTTATAAAACATCTGCTTTTTTGTCTTCATCTCTTCATCCGAAATTAGTTCGCTGATATTAATGATACCGGAGCCATTTAATTCATCGGTAGATTTTTGTTTATCGTATGTTGTAATTACACTTATGATGGTCGAAATTGTAGTTGATGTAATGGATATCTTAGATCAATGCGTAAGTTTTGCATTGGCTGTTGAGAGTTTGGCCGATTACACAGAGCAAAATAACAGAGTCATAGCTTATTAACATGGCGTTAACACACGCGCAGTCTGAGGTATACCGGAAAATAGCCCCGTGCGCGCCTATGCGCAGGAGGAACGTGGCCCTGGGTCTTCGCTGCGCAGAGGGTTTCCACGCGGATCCACTTTGCTCAGAGAGGAACCATCGCCCAAAAGTGTCATCGTCGCGTCAGGTCTATGGTCGAAATTCGATTGTCAGCCAGTGAAACACTTCGCGTGTTTTCATTGGACAGAAGATGTGGTACCACGCTAAGCGAATTATCCAACAGGATTAATATTTCTAAAGTAAGGAGCTTCGAAAACACATCCACTTTTGACGTTGTAAACAAATTATTGGCCAAATGTAGTTGTTTTACTAAGATCATAGATGGGAAGGACGATGGGGAAACGAGAGTCTATTTGTAGCTTGGGAGATTCGTTTTGTGAAGACTTGGTGGATTGGCTACAGATTTCATTGTGTTGAAAGGTCAATGCAGTGAAGTTTATAAATAGTGTCTAGAGTATGAAATGAACTGAAAGTCATAATGCGATATATCGAGTCAAGAGATCTTAAAACAAGAACTCACTAATCGAAGAGATTTAAGATGATTTCGGGACCCATCAAGTTCACGAATATTGCATTCACCTACGAAAAATTCTTCATTGGTCATGTATAACTTGTTTTAGGCAGCGTACAACTATTTCAGATGATTGTCAAAAGGTAAATAAATCTTTTCAATTTTGTTGAAACACCCAGTGCTGACACACCCAGTGTGTTGGCTTCAAAAGGAACATGTGATCCAAATTCCGTTAGTAAATTATTAGATATGTTGACGAATTCAAAGTAAACCACATCATAAGGAATGTTCTTCAATTTGTTATGTGTTAAGTCTATTTTCTTGTACACCATACAATCACTCGGAATTCTTTAAAAGAGAGAGTTACAATAATCACGGGATGAACAATCAATAACTACATAGCCAGTTTCACACTGGCAAGAATCTTCTTGCTCCGCTGTTCCTGAGACTTTACGTAAAAACTGCAAAAACATGCCACTGCGCAGTTGATGGCATTCTGTGTCGCAATTTTCTGTTATGTTGAGCTCTCAATTTCTTGCTCCCCAGGGAGTTTGTAAAAATATGCATTTCCTGCAAATGATTGTGGTTAATACGTACTATTACACATGATAGAATAAAATACTTTCACAACGATAAGGGAATAAGGAAGTGTAAATACAAACAGTATTGGTACTTGAAAAGGAATGTGTGTTATGAGTTTGGGAGAATTGAATTCGTGTGTTCTGAGTTTGGGAGAGGAATTAATCAATTTTCTATCTTATTTTATGCAGAATTTTGATACATATTTTTTACTTAAAATGCCATTTTTAAAGGTACCGTATTTATGAATTTCTGGGTATGTTTCTTAGTTAATGATTTAGTGATTCAGTTCATCGAAAATGTAGTTGAGGAATAGTCAATTTTGTTTGTTATTAATTTACCAAAATTGAATTTTTAACTGTCAGAATTTTTAATTCAATTTAATTTTCTATTATCATTCAGAGTACTCAATGTTTCTACCTTCTAATATATTTAAGAGAATTACACGTTTTTCTACAATAACAGTACCTTGCTCAACGTTGTGGTTGGAACTCCTTCAGTACGTACGTTCAATTTATCATGACATTTTGCCTGAGAAATTCAACGCGCGTAATGGAAACATGCCGAGCGCCGATACTGAAGGCGCGCTGTGTGTCAGTCGGGGACGTGGTCATTACGTTAACAAGCAGCCCACCGTGGCACAGACGCGTGCAGTTTCCGCCTGGTGCCATTGAGGCAACACAGCGGCGCGTGGTGCGTGTTGCCGGTTAGATTGCCCGTCATAGCGCGGCCTGGCGGTCAATCTTTCACGAGGGCGGGCGTGCGGCGCGGGGCGGGGGAACCGGGGGTGGGGTGGGGAGGCGCGGAGACGTAAGAGCCGTTGGCGCGGACGGATGGAAGGCGCGGGAGGGCGTGGGTGGGGCCGG